CCTTTTTTAAAAAATTTGGGGGACTACATTTCCCATCTTCCATACCTTTCAGGAGTTGCCCAGTTTCAAATGATGGTTGAAGATTTTTTGTTAATGGCACACACAATATCTCTGCTCCCTCTTTAAGGACCCACGGGGAGATGTTGTCTGGTCCCACCCCCTTTTGAGGTGTCAAGTTCGCATAGCAGCTTCTTCACTTCCTCTTGGTTTATGTACCTCATTCCAGCATTGCTGGTGTACCCCCCTTGTTCTGATTTCCTGGAGTCCTACTGGTTTCCACTGAAAATTTACTTCTTTAAATCTCGTGTTGAGCTCCTGACATTCCCTCTCGGTCGTTTCTTGTGAATTCCCCATCACCCTTCCTCAGTCTGATTCCCTGGTCCTTGACTGTTGTTTTCCCCCTGATGTGGCTGTACAACAGCTTCGGGTCAGTCTTGACTTTCGATGCTAGTCATTTTCATATTGTCGCTGAGCCTCCCTTTTTTATCTGTGCATATTCTTTTCTGGCTCTTGGCTAATCTCTTTTTTTTCCCTGAGTTCTCTTTTCTGTACCTTTTCCATTCTCTGTACACTAGTTTTTGCCCCCCTACACCTTTGGGTGAACCAAGGACTCTTTTCTTTTTCTTCCCATTATTTCTGTTTCCCTTGGGGAACAAACCTCTCCTCTGCCTCCTTGCATTTGTTGCCAATAGTCCATCATTTCTTGTACTGGTTTTCCTGTCAGTTCCCTCCCCCACTGAATGTTTTGAAGGAAGTTCTCATGCCTGAGTAGTTTCCCCTTTGTAGTTTGGTTTTTCCCCCCCTATTCCTGCTACTCTCTCCACTTGGAGCTAAACTAGTAGTCGAAGCACAGAACCACATGATCACTAGCCCCCAGGGGCCTTTCATACAAGATATCCTCGATGTCTGAACTACTCAAGGTGAATACAAGGTCCAGTCTTGCTGGTTCATCTTCCTCTCTCTCTGGTAGTGTTCTAACATGTTGATGCTTTGAGGTTTTCCAGTACTACATCCATCATCTTGGCTCTCCATGTTTCGGAACCCCATGGGGCTCCAGGTTTTCCCCAGTCAATCTCCTTGTGATTGAAATCCCCCATAATAGTAACTTTGCTCCCCCACATGTGCTCTCCTGGCCACCTCGGCTAGTGTGTCGACCATGGCTCTTTTGTTTCTCATCGTATTCTTCTCTTGGTCTCCTGCAGTTCTGTGGTGGGTTGTACATTACTGCAATTATCACCTTATGCCCCCTCGGGACTGGATTGTTCCTACTAAGTGTCCCTTTCACCCGTGCCACCCATTCCTTCCATTTTTAAAAACCCCACTGGCTTTTATGAGCAGTGCAACCCCTCCTCCCCCTTCCTCCTCTGTCTTTCCTGAGGATTTGATATCCGGGGGGGAAAATTGAATCTGTTATTATTCTGGTGAGTTTTGTTTTGTGAGTGCTATTATGTCTGGGGATGTCTCCTTGATTCTTTCATGCCACTCCTCATACTTATTTGTTTTTCCATCTGCATTTGTATACCATACCTTCAACTTCTTTTCTAAGACTGTGGTCTGGGAGGTGTATTGGGGTTGGGGAATTGGGAGCCCGATAAGGAACTATGGGTGGTTGCTGTGGGGGTGGAGTTTGTAATGTAGTGGGTGGGGGCATTGGATATGACATGGGTGTTTTGGTTTAGAGTGTTTGGCTGCACTGGGGTTGACCTGGTTGGGAGGGCTTCTAAAAGGAAGCTGTGAGGGAGGTTGTATTTGATTTCTTCCTGTGTCTGGGATTCCTGTCTGTCTTCTCCATCCCTCTCTTTCCTCCTTTCGCCCTTTTTATCATCTCTCTCAGTTTCCGCCTTTGTTTGTGTTCTGTCGCGGTCGAGATACAACTCCTGTATTCCCGGATGTCCCTTAATCGGTTGCTTTCCCACAGTATCCCGTTCCCATCGATTCTGCCTTGAAGGTCAAATTTTACTGGCCGGGTTCTTTTTTTTACAAACCCCCCTATTCTCCGAAAATTTTCCAGCTGGGGTTTATGTCGTTTCTCCGATTACTTTCATGTGCTTTCAATTGCTTTTTTTTCCCCTTGTTTTCTTGCTTCATATGTTTCCCCTTCAACTTCCTGTAGCCCATACACAAAGACTGACCTCACCCTTTCATTCTCCCACTGCATATCCCCGTGTATCCCTCATTCAATTTGATTTTCCTCCATTGCAGCTTTCCTTTCTTCAGTTTCACTAGCTACTGTACATGGGCTCAGGGCCTGTATTTTCCCTTCTTGGCTTTCCCTGGGCTCTGTTTTTGGTCTTTTAGGGCCTCCACATATAGCTTAGCTCTTTCATTTATACAGTCTCCATGATAGAGCTTCTACATGCAGGTTTTGCTCCTTCTGTCCCCACAGTCCCCTTATTTGTGGCTGAGGTAGCGGTCTCTGTTGTCAATCCCAAAATGTTATTTAGTTCTTTAGTCTGTTTCAGATTTTTTCCCGTTCCTCTTCTAAACTCTGTATCCTGGCCTCTGCTGCTTTGACTTTCACCTCCCACTTCCTGCTTTCCATGTCTATCCTCTCTTCCATTCTCATGCTAAGTTCTTCTAGTTTCTTTTCCCCTTCTTGTTCCCTTTTGTGGAGCTCTGCTGCCAATCTTCCTTTGCAGTTCCCTCCTCCGTCCCTTGGGTTTTCTTGTTGCTCTTGGCAACCCATTTTTTTTATCCTGATTGCCTCAGAGTGGGAAACCTATGTAATTCTGTATGTTAGGTTAGTATTGTATATGTCAGAGTGTGGGGGGGAGGTAGAGGAGGAACTGTGGCTATTTTGGGAGAGTATGGGGGAGGGGGGTGGGAAGGAGAGTGAATCAAGTGGTAAGTGGGTGAGTGGGAGAGGGAGAGGTGGGGAGGGGGAGGGTGAAAGAGGGAGGGGAGGGATCAGGTGAAGGAGTGAGATGTCGGTGGGGGAGGGGGGGGAGTGTATGTGTGAGTCTGGCAATATGTGTGTGTGTGTGTGTGTGTGTGTATTGTGTGTGTGTTGTGTGTTGCGTGTGGTTTTTGTTTGTTGGGGGGGGTTTGTGGGGGGGTGTGGGGGGTGTGGGTGGTGTGTGGTGGGTGTGTGGGGGGGTGGGGTGGGTGGGTGTGTGGGTGGGTGTGTGGTGGGGGTGTGGGTGGGTGTGTGGTGGGTTTTGTGTGGGTGTGTGTGGGTGTGTGGGTGTGTGTGTGTGTGGGTGTGGTGTGTGTGGGTGTGTGGTGTGTGGGTGTGTGGGTGTGTGGGGGTGTGTGTGTGGGGGGGGTGTGGGGGGGGGTGGGTGTGTGGGGTGGGTGGGGTGTGGGTGGGTGGGTGGGTGGTGGGTGTGTGGGTGGGTGGGTTGGGGGGGTGGGTGGGTGTGTGGGTGGGTGGGTGGTTGGGTGGGTGTGTGGGTGTGGGGGTGGGTGGGGTGGGTGTGGTGTGTGTGGGGGGTGTGTTGGGGGTGTGTGGGGTGGGGTGGGTGGGTGTGGGGGTGTGGGGGTGTGGGGTGTGTGGGTTGTGGGTGTGTGTGGGTGTGCGTGCGCCACTAGGCTACGCTACTCTTTTGAAGATTATAAAAAAAAATTTTCCAATCAATTCCTTATTAATATGCACTATATATACTATATAATATTAAATTGCGTACACTTGTGTTTTGTGTGTGTGTGTGTTTACTAGCTTGTTCTTTGAAAAAGAGGGGGGGGGGTTACGTTAACACTATTTGTTTTTTGTTGTTGGTTCACCGGTACTCTCCCGGCCAGATCTCCGCCACTACGCTACTTTACTTTTTAAGATTATTGGATTATTTTTTCTCACTCAATTCCTTATTAATATATACTGTTTATTATAACAATAATTACGGGTGCACACGTGTGTTTGTATGTGCGTACTTGGTTTTTACTAGCTTGTCCCTCAGGAAAAACAGGGGGGGGGGGGGTTTCATAGGCTACACAACTTTTGGAGTTTACCTGGCGATATTTAGATAATTTACTAACCACTATCTATCTCCTGGTACTGAAATAGGGAAAAGAGAGATGGTATAGCATACAACCCGCAGGGCGAGACACTGAGACTTTAGACACTAACCAAAATTTTAAACCCCAAATAGGCAAGTGATGTCGTCTGCACAACAAGGAGGTTCCTGCTGGTCGATGTATCCCAAATCCCTTTAATTTGTAACTCCTTCAGGAACTTTTCATACATTCAAGTTTTTATTTTCTTTTTCTTTTAAGACTTGGTATTCCCTCTTTTTTTTTTAGTACAGTATTATGGTCATAACAAGTCTGATGATGTTAGCTACCTTCACACACCAACAGCTGGGGATTGACTAATTTTTTTCTTACTTTCAGTATTTACTTAATCACTCTTTTATGACCTTATCACTACACTGCTGCTATAATCAACCAACATATGTATTTGTTAATATTTCAGATCACACCCTTAACCCAATTAACTGTTTGGATATTTTGTGTCAAACACTGCGGCCAGTAGCCTGATAGCTCCCTCACTCAAATTTCATTCAAATTTAAATTGTAAAATTCTTTATCCTATCACATTATTCGCACTCTTGGAAGCTATTTACACTCTTGTAGGTATGTTCATGATTCACTCACGTACGATGACCGCTAATAAATATCTTAGGACAGCCACTAAAACGCTAAAACCTGGGGAGCACTATTTAGCGATTTCTGCTTTACGTGTGGTGCGTGTGTGTGTGTGTGGGGGTGGTGTGTGTTGTGTGTGTGTGTGTGTGTGTGTGTGTGGGGTGTGTGTGTGTGTGTGTGTGTGTGTGTGTATGTGTGGTTGTGTGTGTGTGTGTGTGTTGTGGTGTGTGTGTGTGTGTGTGTGTGTGTGAGTGGGGTGTGTGTGAGTGTGTGTGTGTGTGTGTGTGTGTGTGTGAGTGTGTGTGTGTGTGAGTGTGTGTGTGTGTGCAAAATGATTTGTTTTATTTTATTAAATGAAAATAATGTACATTGTTGTGTTCAAGTGTTGAGTTAAATATTGTGTCTCCATCAGTGTCTCCCGTCTTGGCAGTCTTCCTGATCGGGTCGGAGTTTATGAATCCTGTCCCCAACTTTACCTGCAATGTATCCAACACCAGCTACACTTCATTCAATGGGTCAGTAATGGATTTACTTGTTCAAGTGATTAACTGGCAGACAGGACAAACAGAACAAATAAATGGCAGACAGGACAAACAGAACAAATAACTGGTAGACAGGACAAACAGAACAAATAACTGGTAGACAGGACAAACAGAACAAATAACTGGTAGACAGGACAAACAGAACAAACAACTGGTGACAGGACAAACAGAACAATAACTGGTAGACAGGACAAACAGAACAAATAACTGGTAGACAGGACAAACAGAACAAATAACTGGTAGACAGGACAAACAGAACAAATAACTGGTAGACAGGAAAAACAACAGGAAATTTAGGACTCTTGAGCGGTTAATAAATATTATACAACACCTTAGATAGATCAGACAAATTATGCTGTCTTACATTATGTAAACATGAACAAAGTTAGGTTAGGTTAGGTTAGGTTAAGTTAGGTTAGGTTAGGTTAGGTTAGGTTAGGTTAAGTTAGGTTAGGTTAGGTTAGGTTAGGTTAGGTTAGGTTAGGTTAGGTTAAGTTAGGTTAGGTTAGGTTAGGTTAGGTTAGGTTAGGTTAAGTTTAGGTTAGGTTAGGTTAGGTTAGGTTAGGTTAGGTTAAGTTAGGTTTGGTTAGGTTAGGTTAGGTTAGGTTAGGTTAAGTTAGGTTAGGTTAGGTTAGGTTAGGTTAGGTTAGGTTAGGTTAGGTTAAGTTAGGTTAGGTTAGGTTAGGTTAGGTTAGGTTAGGTTAGGTTAGGTTAAGTTAGGTTAGGGTGCTAGGTTAGGTTAGGGTGCTAGGTGAGGTTAGGTTACGTTAGCTTAAGTTAGGTTAAGTTAGGTTAGGGTGCTAGGTTAGGTTAGGGTGCTAGGTGAGGTTAGGTTACGTTAGCTTAGGTTAGGTTAGGGTGCTAGGCTAGGTTAGGTTAGATTAGAGAACTAGGTTAGGTTAAGTTAGGATACTAGGTTAGGTTAGGTTAGATTAGGGTGCTAGGTTAGGTTAGTTTAGGGTGCTAGGTTAGATTAGGGGGATAGCTTAGGTTAGGTTAGGTTAGGTTAGGGTGTTAGGTTAGGGTGCTAGGTTAGGTTAGGTTAGGGTGTTAGGTTACGTTAGCTTAGTTAGGTTAAGTTAGGTTAGGTTTAAAGATTAAGTTAGGTTAGTTTAGGGTAGGTTAAGTTGGTTAGATTAGGTTAGGATGCTAGCTTAGGTTAAGTTAAATTAGGTTAGGTTAGGATGCTAGGTTAGGTTAAGCTAAGTTAGGTTAGGTTAGGGTGCTAGGTTAGGTTAAGTTAGGTTAGGGTGCTAGGTTAGGTTAAATTAGGTTAGGTTAGGTTAGGTTAGGTAAAGTTGGTTAAGTTACTTGTGGTTAGGTGGTTAGGTTAGGGTGCAAGGTTAGGTTAGGTTAGGGTGTTCGATTAGGTTAGGTTAGGTTAGGTTAGGTTAGGTTAGGTTAGGTTAAGTAAGGTTAGGTTAGGTTACGTTAAGTCAGGTTAGATTAGGTTAGGTTAGGTTAAGATAACATAGTCAGATTAGGTAAGATTAGGTTAGGTTAGGTTGGGTTAGATTAGATGCTAGGTTAGGTTAGGTTAAGTTAGGTTAGGTTAGGTTAGGTTAGGTTAGGTTAGGTTAGGTTAGGTTACGTTACGTTAAGTTAAGGCAGGTTAGATTAGGTTAGGGTGCTAGGTTAAGTTAGGGTGCTAGATTAGGTTAGGTTAAGTTAGGTTAGGTTAGGTTAGGTTAGATTAGGTTAAGTTAGGTTAGGTTAGGTTAGGTTAAGTTAGGTTAGGTTAGGTTGGTTAGGTTAGGTTAGCTTAGGATGTAAGGTTAGGTTAGGTAAGGGTGCTAGGTTACGTTAGGTTAGGGTGCTAGGTTAGGTTAGGTAAGGTTAAGTTAGGTTAGGTTAGGTTAAGTTGATTAGGTTAGGTTAGGTTAGGGCGCTAGATTAAGATGCTAGGTTATGTTACGTAAGGTTAGGTTAGGTTGGGTTGGGGTGCTAGGTTAGGTTAGGCTAACTTAGGTTTGGTTAGGTTGAGTTAGGTTGTGCTAGGTTAGATTAGGTTAGGTTAAGTTAGGTTAGGTTAAGTTGGTTAGGTTATGTGTAGATAGGTGAGGTTGGGTTTTAGGTTAGGGTGCAAGGTTGGGTTAGGTTAGGGTGCTAGGTTAGGTTAGGTTAGGTTAGGTTAGGTTGAGCTAGGTTAGGTTAAGTTGAGCTAGGTTTGAGTTAGATTGAGATAGGTTTGGTTAGGTTAAATTAGGTTAGGTTTAGGTTAGGTTAGGTTAGGTTGGTTAGGTTGAGTTAGGTTAGGTTGAGTTAGGTTAGGTTAGGTTGAGTTAGGTTAGGTTAAGTTGAGCTAGGTTTGAGTTAGGTTGAGTTAGGTTAGGTTAGGTTAAATTAGGTTAGGTTAGGTTAGGTTAGGTTAGGTTAGGTTAGGTTGAGTTAGGTTGGAGTTAGGTTAGGTTGAGTTAGGTTAGGTTAGGTTATATTAGGTTAGGTTAGGTTAGGTTAGGTTAGGTTAGGTTAGGTTAGGTTGAGTTAGGTTAGGTTAGGTTTGGTTAGGTTAGGTTGAGCTAGGTTAAGTTAGGTTAGGTTAGGTTAGGTTAGGTTAGGTTAGGTTAGGTTAGATTGAGTTACGTTGAGTTAGGTTAGGTTGAGTTAGGTTAGGTTAGGTTAGGTTAGGTTAGGTTAGGTTGAGTTAGGTTAGGTTAGGTTTGGTTAGGTTAGGTTGAGTTAGGTTGAGTTAGGTTAGGTTGAGTTAGGTTGAGTTAGGCTAAATTAGGTTAGGTTAGGTTAGATTAGGTTAGGTTAGGTTAGGTTAGGTTAGGTTAGGTTGAGTTAGGTTAGGTTAGGTTGGGTTTAAAATTAGGTTAGGTTAGGTTAGGTTAGGTTAGGTTAGGTTAGGTTAGATTAGGTTAGGTTAGGTTGGGTTAGGTTAGGTTAGGTTGAGTTGGTTAGGTTAGGTTAGGTTTTAAATTAGGTTAGGTTAGGTTAGATTAGGTTAGGTTAGGTTAGGTTAGGTTAGGTTAGGTTAGGTTGAGTTAGGTTGAGTTAGGTTAGGTTGAGTTAGGTTAAGTTAGGTTAGGTTAGGTTGAGTTAGGTTAGGTTAGGTTTGGTTAGGTTAGGTTAGGTTGAGCTAGGTTAGGTTGAGTTATTTTAGGTTGAGTTAGGTTGAGTTAGGTTAGGTTGAGTTAGGTTAGGTTGAGTTAGGTTAGGTTGAGTTAGGTTAGGTTGAGTTAGGTTAGGTTAGGTTTTGGTTAGGTTAGGTTAGGTTGAGCTAGGTTAGGTTGAGTTAGGTTAGGTTGAGTTAGGTTGAGTTAGGGTTAGGTTGAGTTTAGGTTAGGTTGAGTTAGGTTAGGTTGAGTTAGGTTAGGTTGAGTTAGGTTAGGTTGAGTTAGGTTAGGTTGAGTTAGGTTAGGTTGAGTTAGGTTAGGTTGAGTTAGGTTAGGTTGAGTTAGGTTAGGTTGAGTTAGGTTAGGTTGAATTAGGTTAGGTTGAGTTAGGTTGAGTTAGGTTAGGTTGAGTTAGGTTAGGTTAGGTTAGGTTAGATTGAGTTAGGTTAGGTTGAGTTAGGTTAGGTTGAATTAGGTTAGGTTGAGTTAGGTTGAGTTAGGTTAGGTTGAGTTAGGTTAGGTTGAGTTAGGTTAGGTTGAGTTAGGTTAGGTTGAGTTAGGTTAGGTTGAGTTAGGTTAGGTTGAGTTAGGTTAGGTTGAGTTAGGTTAGGTTGCTATGTTAGTTCTGGTTAAAGAATTATTTGGTTGCTCACATCATTGTTATTGTTGAATACATTTCTCAAGAGTCGATTGTTGGTTCTGCAACTTCATTTATATGTCAGATTTTGTCTTTATACATTATGTTCACGATATATTTTAATGTTGTTGAGAAATTATTACACTGTACAGGTCCGAGTGCGTGATGGTGGAGGAGGAGAGAGTGCCGGTACCGTGCACCAGCTGGACCTATGACACGTCAGTCTTTCACTCCACCATCGCCATGGAGGTTTGTGAACCTTACCCTCACCACTTACACATTTGCACCTGTACTCACATCACCATCTTAGTGTGAGTATTAAACATTAACGGCTACGTGGTATACATACGCGGTACAATCAAACAGTTCCTGGACTGCCACGAAAAAAAAATTAAGCTTATCTAATCACTTATTAGTTGTAATCTTCCTTGAGGTAGTCGCCCTGGGAGGCTGTACACTGATCATAACGCCTCTGCACTTTTTAAAACATTTCTGAAACCTTTTGAGTGACATTTTTGTTTTTAAGAAGATTAAGAAATCTCAGGTGCTAGATCTGGGAACTAGGGAAGGTGGAGGACGACCACCATCTTCATGGCCAAAAAAAGATCGTCTTTCTAGTCTTGAGTCAGCTATCAGTAACCCAGTGTCATGCCTCCATAACCCAGTGTCATACCTCTGTAACCCAGTGTCATACCTCAATACCCAATGTCATACCTCCATAACCCAGTGTCATACCTCTGTAACCAAGTGTCATACCTCCGAAACCCAGTGTCATATCTCAGTAACCCAGTGTCATTCCTCTGTAACCAAGAGTCACACCTCCATAACCCAGTGTCATACCTCTCTAACCCAGTGTTATACCTCTGTAACCCAATGTCATACGTTCATAACCCAGTGTCATACCTCCGTTACCCAGTGTCGTACCTCAATAACCCTGTGTCATACCTCTGTAAGCCAGTGCCATACCTTTCTAATCCAGTGTCACACCTCTATAACCCAGTGTCGTACCTCTGTAACCCAGTGTTATACCTCTATAACCCAGTGTCATACTTTTGTAACGGAGTGCCACACCTCCATGACCCGTGTCATACCTCTATAAATCAGTGACATATCTCTGTAACCCAATGTCATACTTCTGTAACCCAGTGTTACACCTCCATAACCCCGTGTCTTGCCTCTGTAATTCAGTGTCATACCTCTGTAATCCATTGTCATACTTATGTAATCCAGAGTGTCACACCTCTGTAACCCAGTGTCATACCTCTGAAACCTAGTGTAACTCAGTATCATACCTCCATAACCCAGTGTCATACCTCCATAACCCAGTGTCATACCTCCATACCCCAGTGTCATACCTCAATAACCCAGTGTCATACCTCCATAACCCAGTGCCATACCTCTGTAACCAAGTGTCATACCTCCGAAACCCAGTGTCATACCTCTGTAACCCAATGTCATACCTTCATAATCCAGAGTCATACCTCTGTTACCCAGTGTCATACCTCAATAACCCACTGTCAAACCTCTGTAAGCCAGTGCCATACCTCTCTAATCCAGTGTCACATCTCTATAACCAAGTGTCGTACCTCCGAAACCCAGTGCCATACATCTGTAACCCAGTGTCAGACTTTTGTAACCCAGTGTCACACCTCCATAACCCAGTGTCATACCTCTGTAACCCAGTGTCACACCTCCATAACCCAGTATCACACCTCTGTAACGCACTGTCATACCTCCAAAACCCAGTGTCATACCTCCATAACCTAATGCCATACCTCTTTAACCCAGTGTCATACCTCTCTAACACAGTGCCATACCACTGTAACCCAGTGTCATACTTCTGTAACCAAATGTCATACTTCTGTAATCCAGTGCCATACTTCGGTAACCCAGTGTCATACCGCTGTAACCCAGTGTCATACCTCCATAACCCAGTGTCATATCTCCATAACCCAGTGTCATTCCTCTGTAACCCAATGTCATATTTCCATAACCCAGTGTCATATCGCCATAACCCAGTGTAATACCTCCATAACCCAGTGTCATACCTTCATATCCCATTGTCACACCTCCATAACCCAGTGCCACACCTTTATAACCTAATGTCATACCTCTCTAACCCAGTGTCACGGTTCCATAACCCAGTGTCACACCTCCATAACCTAGTGTCACACCTTTGTAACCCTGTGTCATACCTCCATAATCCAGTATCACACCTCTGTAACGCAGTGTTATACCTCCATAACCCATTGTCATACATCCAAATCCTATTGCCATAACTCTGTAACACAGTGCCATACCACTGTAACCTAGTGTCATACTTCTGTAACCAAATGTCATACTTTTGTAACCCAGTGTCATTCTTCGGTAACCCAGTGTCATACCGCTGTAACCCAGTGTCATACCTCCATAACCCAGTGTCATACCTCCATAACCCAGTGTCATTCCTCTGTAACCCAATGTCATACTTCCATAACCCAGTGTCATACCTAAATAAGACAGTGTCATACCCCCATAACCCAGTGTAATACCTCACTAACCCAGTGTCATACCTCCATAACCCAGTGCCACACCTTCATAGCCTAACGGCATACCTCTGTAACCAAGTGTCACGCCTCCATAACCCAGTGTCACACCTCCCTAACCTAATGCCACACCTTTGTAACCCTGTGTCATACCTCCATAACCCAGTGTCACACCTTCATAACCCAGTGTCATACCTCCATAACCCAGTATCATACCTCTGTAACCCAGTGTCATACCTCCGTATCCCATTCTCATTCCTCTGTAACCCAGCGTCATACCTCCATAACCCAGTGTCACACTCCCCTAACCCAGTGTCATACATCTGTAACCCAGCGTCATACCTCTGTAACTACGTGTCACACCTCCACAACCCAGTGTCATGCCTCTGTAACCCAGCGTCACGCCTCCATAACCCAGTGTCATACCTCTGTAACACAGTGTCATACCTCCATAACCCAGTGTCATAACTTCATAATCTAGTGTCATAACTTTGTAACCCAGTGTCATACCTCTGCAACCCAGAATCACAAATCTGTAGCCCAGAGATATAAATCGGTAACCCAATGTCATACTTCGGTAACCAAGTACCATACTTCTGTAACCCGTTGTCATACCTCTGTAGCCCAGTGTCACACCACCATAATCCAGTGCCATACCTCCATAACCCAGTGTCATGCCTCCATAACCCAGTATCACACCTCCATAACCCAGTGTCACTCCTCTAAAACCCAGTGCCACACCTCCATAACCTAATGTCATACCTCTGTAACCCAGTGTCATGCCTCCATAACCCAGTGTCATGCCTCCATAACCTAATGTAATTCCTCTGTAACCCAGTGTCATACCTCCATAACCCAGTGTCACACTCCCATAACCCAGTGTCATACCTCTGTTACCCAGTGTCATACCTCTGTAACTACTTGTCACACCTCCATAACCCAGTGTCATACCGCTGTAACACAGTGTCATACCTCCATAACCCATTGTCATACCTTCATAATCTAGTGTCATAACTTTGTAACCCAGTGTCATACCTCTGTAACCCAGAGTCACAAACTTGTAATCAAGAGTCATAAATCTGTAACCCAGTGTCATACGTCTGTAACCCAGTGTCATACTTATGTAACCCAGTGCCATACTTCTGTAACCCGTTGTCATACTTCTGTAACCCAGTGTCACACCTCCATAACCCAGTGTCACTCTCCCATAACCCAATGTCCTAACTCTGTAACCCAGTGTCATACCTCCGTAACTACGTGTCACACCTCCATAACCCAGTGTCATACCTCTGTAACACAGTGGCATACCTCCATTACCCAGTGTCATACCTTCATAGTCTAGTGTCATGACTTTGTAACCCAGTGTCATACCTCTGTAACCCAGAGTCACAAATCTGTAACCCGTTGTCATACCTCTGTAACTGTTACGAGTATGGCCATACCCGTTTTATTTTATAATAGGATATGCCCCTTCATTTTATAATATACATGTTAAGGCTAATATTAATGCTAATATTGTATTATATTATGTTTTGTTACGCTTTAATATTATTTGCATGTAGTGGGAAACCACTAACTAGGTTTAAGTACCGGTTAGCAGCTCAGGTGCTGAGGTCTCCCTCAGTCAGGTGACCAACCTGACACTGGCTTACCACTCAGTGGTACCGTCAGTAGGTTGACAGCACCTGCTCAGAGAAGGTTCACAACCCTTGCTCTGAGTAGTTTTACAGCACTCGCTGAGAGTATGTCCTTCACACTCTGACTAGCCTTCCCACTTCTAGTCTGGGCTTGCAGAGCCAGGGGAGCATACCTCACTCATTGACCTCTCGTAAGAGATGTGTCAAGTTTTCTATTGTGGTCGTTTTTCTTTCATGACTGACTTCCTTTCTTAAGCTTGTCACTTTCGAGTTATTTATGCTCGGGTAAATTAATCTTTCCATGTGACTGAATAAGCCTTGTCGGCCTTGATGTTAATTTGTGGTCTAAGCTATTCTTAGTCATGTTGGATGGAAATGAGTTAGTACTAAGTCCGTCACTTACGAGTTCTTGTATACTCTGAATTGATAGTTCAGATAAGTCTTTATAAGCATTGTAAGTCACTTTGTGGCTAGGTCTTAATAACCATTATAGGTGCATATTATTGGTGATTTTAGTACAAAGCTCAACCTCAAGAGGTTCATTTATTCATATCAATGTACTGGTACGTACCAAGAGAAATGAAAGAGTTAAACTCCTTATTTTATGTTAATCATAACATACCATACATTAAGCTAAAACTCTACTAGTAAAGATTCTAAGTTTTAGTTATTTGTTTCGTAATCCTGAATTCTTATTAAAAGTTATTGTTACACAACCGTAAACAGGCCATATGTTCAACAAGAATGTTACCTTAACACTCTACCATACCATTGGAGAAGATTAAGAAGACGAGTTTTGTAACAGTAACCCAGTGTCACACCTCCATAACAGTGTCATGCCTCCATAATCGAGTGTCACACCTCTAAACCCAGTGCCACACCTCCATAACCTAATGTCATACCACTGTAACCCTGTGTAATACCTCCAGAACCCAGTGTTAAACTTCTATAACTCAGTGTCACGGCTCCATAACCCAGTGTCATACCTCCATAACCCGGGTGTTATATTCCATAACCCAGTGTCTCCCCTCCATAACTCAGTGTCATACCTCTTTAACCAAGTGCCATACCTCTGTAACGCAGTATC